ATTTTGTAATGAATATGCATTTAAAATGGTTAGAGGGTATCTCCGCATAGATTTCCCTAATAAACCTTTATCAGTAGACCTGTGTTTATAATTAGGAGAGCGCTCTAGCATTTAGGGTACAAAATACCTACTTTATGCCCTCGCGTCCTTCCCCTTGCCTCCCCTGTCACTCGCTCAACCTCCTTCTTCTACCGCACCCAGCTATCTTTCCTGTCGCCTGTCCTCAGTTTCCCATCCCCTCTCCCCTCAGCAAGCTATCTTGCCCCCCCCCATACATTAATTCCTAGCTACAGCCCTGCTCCGTGAGGCCCAGCACAAAGAAATTGATGCACGAACCGGCCAGCACCATCCACGCCCAGCCGTGATCGGTGTGTGACAGAGCCGCCCTGCTCTCTCTGCTTCCCGGGTTATTGATGGTTTCCACGTTTGTCGAGCTTTCTTGCTGGCTGCTTGTGTGTGACAGAGCCTCGCTCTCAGAGCTTCCTGGCTCCTCGAAAGATTCACTGCTTGGCACTTCTTCTTGCTGGGTGCTTGTGCTCGCGTTGTCCCGTGTGGCAACAACATGAATTTCTCTTGCTGTGGGTTTCATTGCTTTGCGTTCACCCGACGTTGTAGCCATAGCAGCTTCAGTGGCAGCGCCTCCTATATCTCTCGTCTCTGATTAACTGTCTGGAGATATGTCTGACTACGCAGATCGCTCAATATTTACAGGTAAGAGTAAACAGATTAGCTAGAAAGTTACGCTGAGAGGGTCTATGTCCCCCAGGGTACTGCCGGTACGTACCCTGGTACTATATCTAATATGCCGGATCGTACCTCGCCTACTCCACTAACGAGTCTAGGGAGTCGCCTACGCAACGTATAGTTACCAGGGTACGTTCCGGTATAGCGGACCGTACCCAGGGTACGTTCCGGCAGTACCCTGGGGGACATACATAGCCCCTACGAGCGCAAGTTACCTGTTGACTGCACGCGCAGAGACTTAGACACTGGCCAACATGTTCTGCTAGCAAGCGTCACTAGAAATCCTATTTGGCCGTTGGAGATTACTATCACGTGCGTGTTGCGACTGGTAGGTCATGCTATAATACACAGGCCCGTAGCCAGGGGGGGTTCGGGGGGTTCGAACGAACCCCCCCGAGCCCCTCCCCCCAAGCAAAAATTTTTTTTTTTTTTAAATTTGCAAGAATTTCACCTGTGAATTTCACCATGTGACTTTTTAAAATGTACGACGACGCCATTTACTTTACACGCATTTTCCATCACGGCAGCCTACAGTCTTGTTCTACTATAGAGTCTATCCCTCTTCTGTTTGTTCGCGCGCGATTTCCGCACGTGTGTTGTCACTGTCGTCTGTGTTTTCTACGTGTCGTGACGTAGCACCGAGTGAAGGATATTCAATAGGGCACGTTGTGCATATTTTCACTGATCTGTCTCTCGCTGTCATCTATGCCACCATCGGGTTACAGGTGGTGCGGTGCATTGTAGAAAGACACCCTCTCAAAATAATACAAGATCAGTGTGCATTTGCTAGGCCTTACTTTGATAAGGTGATGATGTTGTTGTTGTTACTGTGATTGTTGTTGTTGTTGTTGTTGTTGTTGTTGTTGTTGTTACTGTAGTTGTTGTTGTTGTTGTTGTTGTTGTTGTTGTTGTTGTTGTTGTTGTTGTTACTGTAGTTGTTGTTGGTGGCATTGTAGTTGTTGGTGGTAGTGGTGGTAATATTAGAAGTGTGTAGGTTTCGGTTCAGGCATACGGCTTACAAGTATAACAAGCATAACTAGCAATCAGAAATTTAATATTATCAAACGTTGATTCATTTGTGAGCATTTTATTAACAAGGGTCATCATGGACGAGAAAAAAACAATACACATAATTAAGTTACACCAGCGCCACCTACATGCAGCATCACGGTATGAGCATGCCCCCTACCTCACATCAGATATTACAACGCTTATTTATTTATTTTCAAGTTGTGTTTTAAGTCAATTTATTATTAAGTTTAATTATCTCTAGCATGAATAGCATTAGCACAATGGTGGCTTCCTCATGGTTGATCAAGCAAGAGCAACATTCGGAGGAAAATGCTGAGTTTAGTTTTATTTTATTCACGCCACATTAAATTCATAAACGTTTTCCCCTCAGATGTTATTCCCCCTTCCTATTCTACCCTCACTCACAATCTTTTCCCCTTTAATATCCCACGTACACATCCTCGTTTCTTCCATGCTTAAGAAAATAGCACAGTGTATGCAAAAGAAGCCTTTGGCATATGTATACTTGGCAAAACGACCCACAGGGTGGCGCCACTATCCACCCAGTGAGCATCCTGATGGCACTTTAGCAAATCTTTTGCTAAATGTAGAACACCTACTAACAACATAGTAGGTCTCAGGGGAGAGATACTAACCCTAACCCTAATCTTAACCCTATCCCTAATTCTAAAATAAAACAAAATTAGCCAAAAATAATAAAAATAAAATAAATAAGAGACAAAATTAGCCAATCAGAGCCGTCCCCTAGCGGATCACTATCTCTCCCCTGTGCAAAATTCCTAACAACAACCGTCCAACACCCATCCAATCCCACCAGCAATAATGATTCGTCAATAAATATACAATACAAAAATTCACAGAACGATTAACAAAATTTATCAATCGGACTACCAATAACCAATTGATCCATCAATGAATGACCTATCAATCAGTCAATAATTTAATCAATCAATCAATCAATCAATCAATGATTAACGATCACAGCTCTACTGTCACTTATTCACCAAGTCTTTGCGACCCAGTAACTGTTGAAGAACAAGGACAGCAGCGCCATCTATGTGGCCGCGCCTAGGGTCCCTATATACAGAGAGTTGCGCCAACTCAGGATTTGAAGCCATGTTGTTTCCAAATGGATCAACACCGCTGCCGCTTAACACGTTGAATGCTGCATGTTTAACAATGCACCTACCGCCCTGTGCTGAGATTTTCGCGTTTTTACCGCTTAGCCACCTATTACACAAAATGTTTTTGGCAGGTTTAACTAGCTATACAATTATTTATAATTAGTGGCTAGTATAATATAGATATAAACTTACTCTCAGACATCAAAACAACACCGGAATCTATCACCCGTAATCTATCAAATCAATCATAACTTTCAGACATAAAAACAACTTCACAACACACGGCGGTAAAACGCCCTTTGGCGAGGTGAACTAAAAACATTACCCCAGTCCCAAAAACTCCCAAAATAACGTTCCAAACAACAGTAAAGTATTGTATAAATTATGTCATCTACTACTGGGGTTTATACAGTGACGCTGTTGAATTGATAAGCGTATAGCCCCTGCCATCTATAGGAGAACATAGTAAACGTTCCAAATTAAAAAAAAAATTTTAATTTTTTTTTTGCCACGAGTATACTCGTGTTTCGCGGCCGTGCGTTTTGCAGGTTCGAACGAGTATACTCGTGTTTCGCGTTGAACGTGTTAAGTACAGCGCTGTATGGATACGCTGTACAATGGTCCGTAGTAATTTATTTAGACTAATCGTGCTTCAATAAACTCAAAAATTACAGAGATTATAGCTAAGACATGTGTCTATGTGTAGCTAGATTTATAGAAATGTAACTCAAATCGTTCGTGCCATATGATAGTACACTTTCTTACCGCCCAATAGCCGTGCGTATATTAGCCTGTGCGATACCGCGCAACTGTAATTCACAAGATAAATGTGTTCCACTCTCCACTTGCTCGCAGCTGTAATATTTGTTTTGCAGTTCAATAAATCTAGCTACACATAGACACATGTCTTAGCTATAATCTCTGTAAATCTTGAGTTTATTGAAGCACAATTAGTCTAATTAATTACTACGGACCATTGTACAGCATATCCATACAGCGCTGTACTTCAGCGGCAGCGGTGTGGATCCATTTGGAAACAACATGCCGGCAGCGATCACGTGACCGATTTTTTCCGACTCGTCATGGCGCAACTCTCTGTATACAGGGACCCTGGCCGCGCCGGTACAATGACGTTTACACGACAAGAGAGCGTCAGCACGCCAGGACCTTTCAAGCGAGCGATAATAATGCGATTAAGTTTGCTCATCCTGCTTGCAGTTGGCAGCAGCAGTGCGGTAGTGAATGTGCGAACGTACGTGTGCGTGTCTGTATATAAGTATGTATTTGCATGTATAATATAATGCAATGCAATTATGTGTGTACGCACGCGCATATGTGTGCATTTGTGTGTATGTGCGTACGTATGTGCGTGCTTGCATGAATGTACGTATGTATGGATGTATGTGCGTGCGTGCGTGCGTATCTACGTATGTGCATGCGTGTGTGTATGTACGCAAGACACCGACAGCACCAGTAGTAACGAATACATACATCTGGGACACGATATTTACATGACGTCTAAATCTCTCACAACACAATCTCGCACCAGAGGGCGCTACCCGACTGTGTGAGATTCGCCTCTCGCCAGCAGAATCGCTGCTGGCAACCGACACGAGAGCATCCGGCGAGACTTCCTCCATCCGGCACGACGCGGCAACGGATGGAATCATGCATGCCGATCGCAGCGCCCCCTGCTTCCACCTCCCACAGCCGAACGACTGTCCCTTGCCAGGGCGAAGACTCAAGGATATTTACCGATCTCGCCCCGCAGGTGGCGCCGGCGGTCACCACCCGCAGCACCGAGGTCGGATCTGAGCGGAGGGTCGATGCGATAAAATTCACTGATCGCACCCGTAGGTGGCGCCGGCGGTCGTCACACGGCGCCGAGGCGCGATTCGAGGCGAGGGTTGGCACGTCGAAGTTTACCGATCCCGCCCCGCAGGTGGCGCCGGTGGTCGTCATAAGGCGTCGAGGTCGGATCCCAGCAGCGGGCTGCGGACGTCCGTGTCCAGCGGCTGGTAGCCGATGTCTCGCATCGGCCGCATCGTGATGCGGCGGCTATGGTGGCGCCGCCACGCGTAGCGCGTGGCGACGATGGCCGCCGTGACGAGCAGCGCCCCCGCGACGGCGCCGACTGCGGGAGAAGAAACAAGAGAGCGTCAGCGGAGGAGGAACGGGAGCGGCGATGTTAACGTGTCGGAATCGCCGACGGCGACAGCGTGTGGTTTCTGAGTGTCAACGTATGAGTGTCAACTTATGAGTGTCAACGTATGGTGTCAAACATGGTGTCAATGTAGGTGCATTGTCAAGAGCCAATTGTCAACCGAACAGTGTCAGTAACATCCAACCTTTCTTGCTACTAGCATGCGTCCTCCTCTCTCTCTCTCTCTCTCTCTCTCTCTCTCTCTCTCTCTCTCTCTCTCTCTCTCTCTCTCTCTCGCCTCTTCTCTCTCTCTCGCTCCCCCCGCTCTCTCGGCTCTCTCTCTCCCTCTCTCTCTCTCGCTCTCTTCTCTCTATCTCCCTCTCTCGCTCTTTCTCTCAAAAATTTCGCTCTTCTGGGCTTTCTCTCTCTCTTCTCTCTCTCTCGTCTCTCTCTCTCTCTCTCTCTCTCTCTTCTCTCTCTCTCCTCTCTCTCTACTCTCTCTCTCTTCTCTCTCTCTCTTGTCGCACTTCTCACTCTCACTCTCACTCTCTCGTACTCTCTCTCTCTCTCTCTCTCTCTCTCTCTCTCTCTCTCTCTCTCTCTCTCTCTCTCTCTCTCTCTCTCTCTCTCTCTCTCTCTCTCTCTCTCTCTCTCTCTCTCTCTCTCTCTCCCTTTCAGACTACCCGCTTCATCTTTCTCATCCCCTCGCTCAACTCGCAACCACATAATCGCATGCACGCCTTTGACAACGCAGCCACAGTAGCCGTGACAGCAGCTCCGCTCTATCTCTGTAGCTCAGCCACGCTGTAGAAGTGCAGTTAGACGAAGTGTAATGTGACGAAAGTGCATACAGGATTAGTAAAGTAAAAAAAAACGCGTAGAAGCACAGGTCTGCATTTCTACAAGTTAGCCTAACAGGTTCTTAATCACTAGGTTCTTATATACGGGTTTTACTGTATTGCAAAGAGTTCTACGCCCTTCGCGCCCTAGGCAGGCTCATCGGTAACCCCACATCTGAGTCACGAAATCACCGCAAGGAGGCAATAAACCTCACTCGTGGATAGATTCGCTCAACGCGCTTCAACAGTTTCCGGACCACATCTCCGGAATCGCTGCGAGCGAGTGAACGGAAAAGCAATTTTAGGGTAGCTTCGATCTCCCAACAGCATTAGCGATCGCGTGTTAACCACTGCAGGGATCACCTTTTCCTCACCACTCCTCAATTTCTTCTTGTGTATATTCAAGCTCAAACCTATATCCAACTGGTAAATCACTATAAATATCATCATCATCTGAGTAATCACTAGAATCATTGAAATCATCGCTTTCTGTTTCCATCTTATACACAACACTCAACTTGCGTTAGCGTGGCATCGCTCAACTTAGGGCCGTGATGTCACATAACCTAGATTACTATTCAGTATTTTATTACTAATTCGGCGCCGGATTTGAAATGGAATACGTTATTGAATGTATTTCTATGTATAAAAACGTTACAGAAGTTAGAAAATTTGACTTCAATTGTCCTTTAACTACTGCGAGGATCACCACGAATGAGCGGGTCAAGAACGGGATAAGCAGGAGCCAGGAGAGGATCAGGGCAGAACCCTGGCGATTCCCCACGTTAGTCTGACACACGTAGCCGATCTTAGAGCCCTACAACAGAGATTCTACGCACAGCAGTAGTGAGTCACAACTATAAGCGATGCAGGTCCCCTGCGAGAAATTCCGCCACGAACGAAGACGGGTTAGTCACGTATCACAGTTGTTAGTCCGCCTATAAGAAACGACAGAGGCGACAACCGGTTAGTAGGTGCACAGCGGCGGCGCACCCTGGCGGCACTCGCCTGCGACTCACCGACGGTAACCAATCGCTACTACCGCGCGCGCGTCGGCGTTGCTAGCCGTACAGGTTCGCCTCCCCGTGGCCGAGTGTGCTGTAGCCAATCACGATGTTGTCGCCCTGGAGACGAGCGCGCCGCTTGTAGTGACGTCGCACGAGCACGACCGCCGTAACCACGACGACGGCGACCACCTCTACTCCGGCTGTGGACAGAGACGACACCTGGTGGCGACAACCGGGTGCAACAACGCGAGGGGGCGATTATAACATATAGATGTTCTCTCTCTCTGTCTCTCTGTCTCTGCCCCCTTCCCTCTCTCTCCATCTCTCTCTCTCTCTCTCTCCCTCCCTCTCTCTCTCTCTCTCTCTCTCTCTCTCTCCCTCCCTCTCTCTCCCTCTCTCTCTCTCTCCCTCTCACTATGCCTTTATCTCTCTCTCTCTCTCTGTCGCCATCTCTTACTCTCGCCCCCTTGCTCACCGAAAATTCCTATGATGCCGGCAAACGACTGTGCACTAAGAAAGGAAGCTGCCTGCTCCATGATCGGCTTCCTCTTCAGTAGATGCTTCACATTGGCCAGCGAACCGTTGTTTGGTGCCGGCGTGAGTCCTGCAGGAAAGATGTCGTGGTCATTTGTGTCCGCCATAATATATATATATATATCAGGGCTCGACTTTAACGGTGGTCCGGGTGCCAATGGCCACCTGAAACGGCGTCGGGCCACCTGAAACTGTCGGGTTGGTGGCCCGCCTGGCCACCAATAAAAATAAGGCCGTGGCTACGCGTCTGGACATCCATCTCACACAGAGATCTTGCGACACGTACACCCATGATTACGCAAGGGGGTGCTCTGCTGATTGCCGTGTGCGTGTGCGTGTGCGTGTGTGTGTGCGTGTGTGACGTGTGTGTGCATGTGCGCGTGCGCGTGCGCGTGTGAGTGTGCGCGTGTGCGTGTGCGTGTGCGTGTGCCCGTGCGCGTGCACGTGTGTGTGTGGGTACGTGTGGGTTACTGGAAGCAGATTCTGAGAATGCGAATCGCAACAAGAAACAATGCTTTACTTGGCCTAAATAAAAACAGTAGTGCACCGTGCACGTGCAATCCATTGGCTACCCATCAGCTGTGTGGGTTCGTTGCGCAATTAATTTCTCCGACAAGTGCGTACATACCAGAGTGTATGTATAGAGAGGGGTGTAGGGATGATACACTGTAGCGAGAGGGAGGGGGGAGGGGTGTAGGGATGATACACTGTAG